TCCTTCAATGGATATACAATAGCAGGGGCTGTTAACCTGTTCCCTACCGCCCACTAGTGGGCGTTTCAGGATTCTAGGTGGGCGATAGGGGGTTCTATGGCACAAGCTGAATCCTCCTTCCATCGAGTACTGGTGGGTGGTAAGGAAATTTTACCATCAAGAAAGATGCATTAGTGGGCGGTAGGTATAAAAAGGTTGACTACGCCTGTACTATAGCAATCTCTTGGTGCGAAGTTGTGCTTCATACATTGAGAAAGCACAAGTCTGCCTATATAAGGGATTTGTTTCAGTACAGGAAGAAAACCCAGAAAATTTAATGAGTTCTTTCTAGTAGCATGTATGTAAGTAGTAAGTAAGCACAAGTTTAACCTTGGTATGAGAGAGACTTCTCTGGTTTGCAAAAGCAAGATGCTGGCATCTAAGACGACTGATATGTTTTGGACTGAAATAATTCTATGCCCTTTAAAACACAAATCATTGGGGGGGGGGGTTTCCTACCAGTATGTTAAAAAACAACACCAACCATGTTATCTAAAGTCTTGTTTGAGTTCTCATTTCAAGAAGATTACATACAAAACGGCATGTTTTCTCTTCCTCCCTCCCTCCTTTTCAGAGTGCTGACGTAGCTGAATCTCTTCATTGCAGATAATGCTGAGATACTTGAAGGCAAAGGCAGACAATTACCAGCCTTTGCAAGCATTTAAAAGATTTGGGCCCTGAAGCAAAATGCTGTTTACCGAAGAATGAATGTGCCACTTGTACTTAACATAGGCAAGTTTGTCTGAACTCAAACATTCTGGATACTGGCCACCAGTGGACTCTAAGAAAGGTTTATAGGTGTGAGATAACATCAAGCTCCTGTCTGTGTTTCATTACTTCAGGGCCTTTGCTATGCTTTAAAACAAGAAACTGCAAGTACCAACAGAGGTATATTATTACATCTGCCTCTGTGTTCACCTACTGCAGCATTTAATCCTTCTCTGTAGAGAAGATCATCATTGACTATATGATTTGGACCACCCTGTCAACGGACATGGCCAGAGTTTAACTTAGGGTACATGGGAAGAGTTCCAGTGAGATCACTAAACCTGTGCCAGTTTGTGTCCACTGAGAAGCAGGTGTATCACCTTTGCCTATATGCCACAGAGTAGAAATAGGGAATTTGTTGTAGGTCTACAACTCCCATTGTGTGCATGCACGTGTGTGTGTGTGTGTGTGTGTGTGTGTGTGTGTAAATAGCAACTAGCAAGTCTTTTAAAAGACTTAGGGATAAAAAGAGACACCCTGAAGGGTTCAGAGACCCATCCATGTGGGGCAATTTCATTTTCCAACAGTCAACAAAAGGAAGCATGAGCATGTCAGGTAAAGGGGACAAAGCTACAAGGACTTTCTAGTAATTTTAAACCAGGAGGAGCAAATATACATTTAGTGCAAGGTAGGTTCAGTGGACACCGTCTTTGCCTAATCTCAAGTAACAGAATGCTGCACCAGGAAACAAATGTTATAAGGAAGTATTTCCTTTTTCTTCTTTTCACAAGGTCTCTGTCTCTTCCAAATGCATGACAGATTCTCTCTCTTTCTGAAAATGTCTCTAACAAGGCTTTCATTGTCTCAGACAGGTGTGAAACTGGAACTGATTCACAGCCAACAACCCTGGTATCAGAGCCAGCTCTTCAGCTGAAAACATGCACCAACCATCCAGTAATACCAACACAGCCAGCCAGAGACTCAACAATTTAAGGCTTAACACACACACACACACACACACACACACACACACACACACCATAAATCAGATGATGATGTGCCAGCCAACCGTCGGCTTCTTGGGCAGATGCCTGCAGACTGTCTGTACAGATCAGACTGTGCCTGTTTGGGTTAGTGAAAACATTTTTTCCCCCTTCTGAAGATGAGATGCTGGGTGGAGCAACTAGTTCAAACACATCCCCGTTGGCCCTGTCTTGTCTCAGCCACCTTCTTGCATATGCCTTTTGTGAAACTCTTTTATTCGCAAGTATGGTAGGGAATGTTTGATGTACAAACGCAGGGGGGATAGTCACACAGACCTGCATTTTATTTGTGATGCCTTACAAAAACAAAAAACCAGTCCATAACTAATAGCACATATAAAATGTAACCGTCCAGGGGAACCGGCCTGACTATTCAGCCACAATGCTCCCCTGGCTCAAGTGGTTGATAGCTCCTTACTTCAACAAGATAAGTAGGAGAGCAGCAGGTTTCTGCGCAACAGTTGCCCATTTCTGCTCTGCGACTCTTATCTTAAGAACAGCCTTGCTAGATCAAACCAAAGGTCCACCTAGTCCAATATCCTCTTTTCATTGTGCCCAACCAAATACCTATGGGAGACCCACAAGCAGGACTTGAGTGCAAGAGTATTCTGTTCATTTGCTCCCCACCAGCTGGTATTCGGAGACATACTGCCTCTGTCACTGGAGATACAATGCAATCATCATGGCTAATAGTCTTTAGTATCTTCTCCATCCTGACAGCAGCCCCCAGTACAGAAACAGTATAAGTTGTCCTATACTTTACCTAGGTATGGATGGAACTCCCAAGCACCTACTCTAGTTTCCTGATACAGGGGCCTTCTCTGTCTCACCTGCCAAAGCTGCATCAAACAGAACAAATCAACATAACCGATCGGCTTGGTTTGAGCTGAATATGCAGTAACACTGCCAAACAAAATAAAGACAAAAAACAAAAAACAACCCATGCCGGTCCAAAGGCTAATTGTGGCCAGCTCAAGACATTTTTCTGCCTGAGGCACAGCAGCAAACAGCACCATCCCCCCAAGTGGAGCTGCATAATACCCAAGGCTGCTTGAGTTACTTTGGCACTTGGACAGGTCAAGTGATTTTGGGAACCACAAGCACTTGTCCTCCTTTCCTGGCAATAAAAAGGCAATAAGAACACATTAAGTAACAAACTATTGACTGCCCTTCCATGACACCCAAAATCAGCTGCTTGAGGCAGCTGCCTCACTGTGCCTAACAATGGAGCTGGCTATGCAGGTGACAAGTCTCAGTCTGCTTTGCCCAATTGATCTGTGCAACGGTGAGAACAGGCCTTAGATTGGACAGCCTCCTGCCTCTTACTTGAAATTTTGTGAAAGCTAACCTTAAATGCCAGACATCATGAGGTTCACTCTTTGCCTCCTATCTCACATCTGAGGCCCTATAAGAATTTAACAAGAGTCTTTCTGGATCAGAGAACAGCCTTCCTCTCTCCCAGTGGCCAAGCAGATGCAGCAAGTAGGAAATGAGCACAACACCTCTCTCCCCATTCATATTTCCCAGCAAATGGCAGACAGAGGCAGACAGGCTCTGGTACTGGAGGTAGTGCCCTGTCATGACTAGTAGGCATTCATAGCCTTATCCTGCATAAATGCATCTAATCTCTTTTTAAAGCCATCCAAGTCTTGGAGGTGTCAGTTCCTCTGCCCTGCAACTACCCCTAACCCTGTAGGCAGTATCAGGGAGGCAGAGGGCCCTTTTAACACAGAAACCCAAAGAACCAGAACTCATAGCCTCTTCTCCTTATTCTTCTCAGAAAATGGCTCACCCAACCTGCTTCTTTATTCTATGGCTGTGTATGCACCATTCTTATGATGCACGTGAGTTTCTCCAAAGAATCCTGGGAACTGTCGGTCCTGGGAATTGTAGCTTTGGGATGAGGTATGTTACAGCTCCCAGGATTCTTTGAGGGAAACAGTGTGCTTTAATTGTATGATGTGTATGCAGCCTATAACCCTCATGAGAGCAAACAATGCACGTATGGAACATCATGGAGGATGTGTGTGTAGAATTATTTGGCGAGAGAGAGCTGACAAATAGAGAAAGGGTTAGTGGGTGCACATACCAGTTCTCTGGCCAACATCACCTCCCACGCCCTGCCCAACAAAACAGTTTTGTATTGCTCTCTTTTAAATCAGAACCAGTGAAGGCGGTGAAGGTCCTGTGTGAGTGTCTGGAGGCGGTTGGAGGATGGATGGCGGCTAACAGATTGAGGTTGAATCCTGACAAGACAGAAGTACTGTTTTTGGGGGACAGGAGGCGGGCAGGTGTGGAGGATTCCCTGGTCCTGAATGGGGTAACTGTGCCCCTGAAGGACCAGGTGCGCAGCCTGGGAGTCATTTTGGACTCACAGCTGTCCATGGAGGCACAGGTCAAATCTGTGTCCAGGGCAGCTGTTTACCAGCTCCATCTGGTACGTAGGCTGAGACCCTATCTGCCTGCGGACTGTCTCACCAGAGTGGTGCATGCTCTGGTTATCTCCCGCTTGGACTACTGCAATGCACTCTATGTGGGGCTACCTTTGAAGGTGACTCGGAAACTACAACTAATCCAGAATGCAGCAGCTAGACTGGTGACTGGGGGCGGCCGCCGAGACCATATAACACTGGTCTTGAAAGACCTACATTGGCTCCCAGTACGTTTCCAATTCAAAGTGTTGGTGCTGACCTTTAAAGCCCTAAACGGCCTCGGTCCAGTATACCTGAAGGAGCGTCTCCACCCCATCGCTCTGCCCGGACGCTGAGGTCCAGCGCCGAGGGCCTTCTGGCAGTTCCCTCACTGCGAGAAGCAAAGCTACAGGGAACCAGGCAGAGGGCCTTCTCGGTAGTGGTGCCCACCCTGTGGAACGCCCTTCCAGCAGATGTCAAAGCGATAAACAACTACCTGACATTCAGAAGACATTTTAAGGCAGCCCTGTTCAAGGAAGTTTTTAACGTGTGATATTTTACTGTATTTTTGGTTTCTATGGAAGCCGCCCAGAGTGGCTGGGGAGGCCCAGCCAGATGGGCGGGGTATAAATAATAAATTATATTATTATTATTATTCCTGTTTTTCTCTGGCCTGTCCAGATACAACACATACAGAGTGTTTTCAAAAGTCTATTTGAAGGATTCGCCTCCATACCGTCTGAGGGGAAAAAAACCCTTCCACAGAGTCATCTGGGTTTGTTTCTATTTCTTTTTTATTACTGTTATTCTTATTATCATCATATTTCCCAAGTGAACAGGTTGTCTACTGCTGCTTCCTCAATTGAGAGATGATTCATGCCCTCACCAATAATAGAGCGACATGCTCACAGCTGTGGCCCTCTTGGTAGCTGTTTTCCTGTCACACCCACCTGTTGGGTTTTGTGATTTTTGGCCGGACAGCCCGACCACAGCTGCAAGGGTGGTTTGATGGCATGAGTCATGAATGGAAGCAACAGGATAGGCTCACGCAAGGGCATGTCTCGAAAATTGTAAGAGAGATAAAAGTGAGTTAAAGTATTTGGAGACAAGATTTTTTCTTTCTTTCTTTGCTTTCTTAAAGAAAAAGAACACATAAGGCCACCATGCCACGAATGATGCCTTTTTACAGATGTTTAAGCAACTGATATTCAGGCAAATGGTGGTATTCAACTAAGTTTTATGCAGAGCAGAAATTAATGGACCTAACAGAATCATGTTCATTAATGAGTTGTGCTCATTAAGACTGTGGGAACCACTACAACTTTGTCTGAAAGCACCACACAACAGCAGCAGCAGCAGCAGCAATAAAAGAAGGGAAAGAAAGATATACTGAACCACCATCTGATTGCATCGTGTGTGTGCTAGCACACCTATAAATATTTTAGAACATATCTTAAAACTTGTCTATAGGAAATGTTGATGCCAGGGGCCTGCTGCTGTTACTTCTAGTTTTGCCATAAGAACAACACAAAAGGTTTTATGCTGCCTACAATCAACCTATCATGGGGAGCTACCAGTAGAATCATGGCATTTTTATCCATTACTGTAGACTGGGGAACCACCTGGATAAAAACATGACCCTACAAGTCCTTAGACGTTGGCTTCCCAACCACTTATTATGCATACTGTTCAAATTACCTTCATAGTTTTGAATAAATTTGGAAACAGCCTCTGTGAAGGAGTGCAGTGCACAATACCAGTTGCCAGATGATGCTTTCAGTGAGCATGGAGAACTTCCATTCCAACATCACCCATTATTGATAATGGCTGCTCCTCTGACCACTTTTTCATGCCAGGTGGGAGAATCACAGAATAGCTTGTGATACGTGGTACAGCTCTGGTATGGAGACTCCATTATGTGCAAGTCTCATTCCACTTCTTCCATGGGAAAAAGCAAGTATAGGAGAATTTCCCTTTTCTGATCCATCTCTCAGGTAAGGGTGGTAGAGCATCTGCTTTGAATGCAGGAAATATCAGGTATGATCTCTGGCATCTCCAGGTATGGCTGGGAATGTGCCCTCTCTGAAACACTGGAGAGCTGCTGCCCTGTAGACAATACTGAGCTAGATGAACCATAGTCTGACATGATGTAAAGGCAGCCTCCTCTGTACTCCATGTCTAGATAAATTTCTGTGCCTCAGTGCATCTGTTTGCATTTGGGAGACCAGGTCTCTCTCACCATCTACTCAACATTCTACTTTCTCTGTATACTGTAAGACTCTGTAGTAACTCACAGATACCAACAAAGAGGGGGATATAGTGGGTATTGCTGTACTAGGCCCAAAGGAAGAAGGGGGCTCAGACTATGATCTTCTTCCATTACAAAAAACAACACACCCTGCCTCTCTAGCCCTCCATGAGAAGAAAGCAATTACACTATACCTAGAAGTCTCTAGTTTTCTCTAGTTGTCCAAGGTTTGAAGATAAAATATTTGAATGGTTAAATTAAATAATGTAGTATATTTTATGTTCATGTTCTATTAAAAATGTGCTTGTGACTGGCTACTCTCCTTACTTAGAAAGATCAATCTGGATCAGGACCACGGGGGTTGATAGAACTTTCTCTGTATGCCATCATTACAGCAGCAGCAGCAGCAGCAGCAGAAGTGTTTTGCAACAGACTCTTGTATAGCATTTTCAGGTAACGGCCAATAAAAGAATATTTTATGTGTAGCCAAAATGTGCGCACCACACTTTTTGGAAGGGGGGAGGGGAACTATTCCAGAATGCCAAAGAGATATTAAAAAACCTCTCTTTAAAAATTAACATAATCTCTCATGGCTAAGATTTTCAAAATCAATAAATAATGTCGACTCTATTTTAGGATGTACACAGAAATATGCCAAAGCCTTCCAAATATCCAACTATTTTAGACCTCTGGATTAAGACGAGCAAATTTCCGAGATGCAGACTGAAAGAAACCACTTGAAGTCCACAAAACCACACCTAAAATAAACAAACCAAGGGATGCTTCTCTTTACGCTTATAAGTAAAATGGGGTTGCAAGCTCTAATTTGCTAAACTGAAATGTGGAGAGAAACGCCATACTTTCCCTAACAGCCCCAAAGCTCACCACTTGGCACTTGGATCATGAACTGACGGTTCTAACACAGCAAGAAGTTAGGCTATCAGTGGGTGGTAATCAAAATAATCATGTGTGGGCATGCGTCTGAAGCTTAGAGAAGGGTGGACTGATTTCAGCAGGATCAAGCACTGGTCAAGTCCTTGACACACCTGATTACTCATTGTACACAGGGAGGGAGGAATTTACAACATGGGAAAATTGTATTGTCAATCATAGCAATAAAAAACTGGTAAAAATATACATCTAATTTTGTTTTTTTAAAAAAAGCAATCTTCTCTATATCAACTTTTTGGAGAAAGGGACATAACTCATGCTTTGCCAGACCCTGGCACCTGCAGATAGATCTGCCAAAGACACAGGAGAGCTGTGTAGATGATACTGAGTGAATTTAACCAATGATCTGAGTCGGTAGCTTCCTAGGTTACTATGCCCTAACCTCACACAGAGAGTTTATAAGTGCAGATATGAATGTATGTATATCGCCACCCTCTCAAAGACAGGCCACATAACCATTCCAGCATTTTTCCTGCCTGCAAAACTGCATGCTCCTGCATGTGAACACATCGTTGTCTGGGTGCTCTAACACAATACACCTGAATGTATTTTGGCATGGCTGATGGTCACATTGTATTTTTGTTCACATATGGACTGACGCCGAAGGATAAGACAGGTAGGAAACCCAAAGTAAATTTAAGTGAAAATGAAAAGGAAGTTGCACAGCGTAACTTTGCAGAAGGCTAAAATCATAACTTGTTGAAGGCAATCTCTTTTAATGGTATCCCTTACATCAGGATCCCCAACGTTTTTCAGCCGAGGAGCACATTTGGAAAGCTAAGAAACTGTTGTGGGGACCAGTAATGCTCAGAACCTTCTCCCCATCCTCCAAACACGCAAGATGCTTACACACATCCCAAAACAAGTACAAAACAGACAAAAAAGCAGGCAACCCTCCAAAAAAGGAAGGGGCAGAGGGCCTTGTTGTACACCATGAGGGAGGTATGAAGGTGCCATGGTGCCCATAGGCACTGCAAGTTGGGGCTAAATATGAAGACAACCTCTTTAGGAGCTTTCTCCACTTCTAGAGCAAAGTCATTCTGTGGCTGCAAGCCTGCAGGTGTTGCCTGTGCAGTTCTCACAAACCAACATGCATCAGCAGAGGCCTTCCCTCCACAGTTCTGTCCTTCCACCACAATTAAGGTTAGAAGAAGCAGTCTATTCTAGCCAATGGAATAGGTTGGGGTGTGTGCTTAGTTAGTGTGTGTGGTGTCCATGATAGTTTCTTTTGTTTACAAATGCTCCCACAGGCTACCCAAAAGTTTGTCAAACCCTGATTTGGAAGCACCTAATTGTCTTGTATAAACCAAGAAGGGATTTTGATTTTTTGAGAAATGCCTTTGAACAGCCCCTTCCTCATCTCACAAACTTATGTTTTGAAAGCCTCCTGGTTTTCAAAGAGGATTACTGTGTGGGTACTGTTGGCTGCTTTCGAAAATCAAAGGATACAAGGCCTGTGGAGCTCAAAATATAGCTCTTTGGAGGGTGTCCTGCACCACTTAGAGCACACATGCCACAGTGTGCACGAATTTGATTCAGTGAGCATTTGCCTTTAAGGTGTTCTTCTTTATTAATTTTTGTTGTATTTACCATGGGAGGTAATTCAAGCTCTGCTAACAAGCTATGAAGTGTTCTGCCAATGTGGAGATTACAGTCTTTAAAAAAAAGAATTCAATGGAGAGTAAAACTGGATTTGTCAGTGAAAGACTAAGAGAGATTTTATTTACCGGAGTTTTGCAACACGCACCTTTAATCTTCGTAACAACTGGGTTATTCATGGGCCCATACTATGCTTCAAAAGCCAATAAAAAAGCACATCAATATCACTAGCATAAGGTCTCAACTATGATGTGTCCACAGTTCAGAGTGCGTCTGAAGTCTTGTATAAGAAGCATACCTGCTTCTGCTTGTATTTTACACAATAAATAAAACTCACCTGGCTTTCTTATTCTACACTAAAGAGCCCAAGTAATATATTCTGGGCTGGATCCAGACAAACTTAGCTGAACTTAGGTCCCACTGAAATCAATGGCACGCACATCATGACTTCCGCATCCTATTGATTTCAGTGTGATCCAAGTTCAATTAGCCTTAGTTCTAATCCAACCCACAACTCCTTTAACCCCCCACCCCCAGGAGTTCAGGGAAGGGTACAGGCTCACCCCTAATCCTCACCATTTCATCTTTACAACCACCATGTAAGAGTAGTCAGACCATAGATCTCATTGGCCCAAAGTTTCCCAGTGAGCTTCACGAACTACCTCCTTGGTCTAAGTCCAACATATGAATTCCGGAAAGGAAGGAGCATTGCACTTTCTGCAGTGTATTACAAGGACTTTGTGAGCCAGGGCTACACCCACTCCTCTGAATTAATTAAGTGCTCAGAACTGTCAAAGTGATAAGTGGCAGGCAGGTGAAATACAACCTCCTATTTCTTGGTGCAACTGAAGTGAGGGAGCAAAACAAAGCAGCAGACACTTCCCCTCTTGGTCAAGTCAGGCCAAACTAAAATTCAACTTAGAGGTTAGAAGGGAGCCTGGATGGTATAGCTGGTATAGCACTATGCAGCCTAATCTCTTGATATCTTTAAGCTGCAATTTTAAGAATTCTTAAAAAGAGGAATGTTCCCATTGAGCAGGTAACCCTGTTAAAGGCAGTGGTGATGAATATCACTTAATTTTTAAACATTTCTGTTGTTAGGGGCTATTATAATCTACAGTGGTTGTTAAGTGGTACTTTATTTAGACAGGTAGGATACTACAGTGGTTAAGAATCATAGAACTGTAGAATTGGAAGGGACCCCCAAGGGGTCATCTAGTCCACCCCTCAGCAATGCAGGAATCTCAACTAAAGCATCCATGGAAGATGGACATCCAACCTCTGCTTAAAAACCTCGAGACCACCACTGTCAAACAGCTCTTACTGTCAAAAAGTTCTTCCTGATGTTCAGTCACAATCTCCTTTTTTGTAACTTGAATCCATTGGTTTGGGCTCTACCCTCCAGAGCAGGAGAAAACAAACTTGCTCCACCTTCCATGTGGCAGCCCTTGAGATTTTTGAAGATGGGTACTATATCTCCTATTTTCCAATCTAAACATACCCAACTCCCTCAACCATTCCTCATAAGGCTTGGTTTCCAGACCCTTGTTCTTCTAGGTTGCCCTCCTCTGCACACATTCCAGCTTGTCAATATCCTTCTTAAATTGTGATGCCCAGAACTAAACACAGGATTTCAGGTGTCTAGAGCAGACTAAAGCAGTACTATTACTTCTCTTGATCTAGACACTATACTTCTGTTGAGGCAGCTTAGAATAGCATTAGCTTTTTTGCTGCTGCATCACACTGTTGACTCATGTTAAGCTTGTGGTCCACTAAGACACCTGGATCCTTTTCACATGTACTGCTAGTAAGCCAGGTGTCCATCTTATATAGGTGCAGCTGGTTTTTCTGGTGACTTCTGTTTCAGTGTATCTGAAGAAGTGTGCATGCACACGGAAGCTCATACCAATAACAAACTTAGTCGGTCTCTAAGGAGCTACCGGACAATTTTTAAAATTTATTTTGAGAAAGAAATGGTTGGTGTTCAAACCATCCAGTATCTACATCTGTTGAGTCTTTAAGATAGAATGTAGGAGGCGTAAGCCAATATTCAAATGAGACTCTTTGAGATTTTCTCAGTACACATTTATCTACAGGACAATGGCTTTGTGATGCAAACTGCTTTGGATGCAGGTTGCCTTCCTAACTGCAGATTACAACTTATTAGTTTCCTGCAGCAATTGGCTTTTCTGTCATCAGCATTCTGCAAATCAACTAATTAGTAGGCAAACAATCCTATGATAATTTGCTAGACTCTCAAAACAGGATATTATCTCTCTGACCTGTGAAAAGATAATCCCTTGTGTTGGAGAATTCTCTTCTCACCTTATTGCCAAACAATTAATTTAGTTTTCTGCAGCTGATTAAGTGTAATAGTCTAGGCAGGAAACAGTGTTATTGTACCTTGCCAAAGATCTGTCAGATGAGCACACATGAATATACCAGAATGGCTCAAAGAAGAAAAAGCATGGCAAAACATTTTCTAACTATTACTTCTGTGTCCATATAGCAAATATGTTCTGCTAAGAATCTGAAGTGAAGAAGCATTCACTGATCTAGTAATGTTTACTACCTTTTAAACACAGACAGAAATAAGTTATTTACTGTCCTAGTAGGAATAAACTGAAAGAGACAACTGTTAATTCATTGTAAAGGTGTTTCTAATGAATAGGAAGGAATAGCTTCCTTGTGTATTATATTGATCAAAAGTGGCCTGTAATTAATACTATCAACATTCTGACCCTAACATGGAAGTGACTGGTTTCTACTAGATCAGCATTTCACATAAGTACCCTGATCCAGGAAGAATGTATTCCAGTAAAAAAACAAAAAACAACAACCCAACAACCTATGGGCCTGTTGTTATGCCGAGTCACTAAAGGCAATAATCATTTGTTTCAGTGGAATGAGGCAGGAAAGGGGAAGAAGTTTCCCAGAGTCAGCCTCCTACTCCTCTAAAAGGTGCTTCCATCACCTGTAAAGCAGACAGAAGAACAGAGTCTCATCTTTAAAATGCAAAAATAAAAAATGGTGTTGTGGTTATTCCAAGGAGAAGAGAAAAAAGTGGGAAATCTGTAGTCATCCAGATGTTGTTTGGCTACAACTCCCATAATCTCTGACCACTGGCCATGCTGGCTAAAGCTGAAAAGAACAGGTCTAATAACAGTTGTATAGGTTCCTCTGGAATACTGTAACATAACTATTCATCTGGAACAGAAAGTAAACATAACAGGTTTTTTAAACTGCGTGTTTTTAAAAAAGATTCCACACTGAAAATACAAATTTCAGTGCCCTAAAAATATTATGATAATTGTGTCTGAATTTTTCACACATTCTGTTTTTGAGCATTTCATTAAAACCCACAAAAATACTAAAAACCTAGAGAAATAGATCAAGCTATGGAAACAATGCTATCTACAATTCCTTGTGGTCAACCACACCAGTGTGTTTCTTCAGCTCATGGGAACTATGATAAAGATGGATGTTTTCAAGAAATGATTATGACAGCATAGGAGACCTTGAAGATATCTCTTTAAACAAAGCTTTTTTCACCTGGGAAGCAATGAAAAAAATATTACTGCAAAGTTTAAACATTCCTGCCTTTTTCAAAGAAATGATCAAATAATCTGCCTTCTTGTGTTACAAAATGCAGTTTTGGTTACTTTTGTCCTTGTAAGCATGTTTTGGTCAATATAATTGGTCACAAGCCTTTTAAAAGGCTTACTTTAGGTGTGAAAATATCCAGAGACATTTCTTTTAACTTAAGTATTGTTGTTGTTTTTAGGGGATGGAGGAAACTCATTTTCTCAATTTTTTAGCAATACATAAAATCTTTTACATAATGCAACCAGGATCCAAATAATTGCATAACTAATGCTGCAAGAACAGGGGAATTTTGGACTTACGTTTCCTGAACAGCAGTCTTCATGGTGTATGGGAAACCAATTTGAAACTGACAGGAAATCTCAAGAAGAGTTTAAGATGTGGCATAGAGATTCTAAATGGGTCATGGAGAAATAAAACATTGACACATACTTTAGGTAAATGATTTGCGTCCTGGCTTCCATTTTACAGGGCCTGTCAGTATTTTTTGGAGAGATTCAATTGCATACTGGAAATTTAGGTTTGTACAATTAAAGTAGATTAAAGCACTCTGTCAACCCTGTGCTTTTTGAAGTTAGGAAACCAATAGGGAAATGCACTGAAAAGTTTGGGATGAACAAATGATTAATGGAAAGATATATAAGAACTGTGTAAGCAAATCAGGATGAATACTTATTGTCATATAACCTCTGCACAAGTGCTCAATAGATACTGGATGCTGTCTATCCTCAGCGTAGGTTTTGTGTGAGCAAATTAGGATGGATGCTCAGTAAACAGGCTGTTTGGAAGACTCCCACGTCAGTCAAATAATAGCAAAAAGAAATGCAATGTTCACACACTCAAGATATGTAAAACTTCATGAAATCAAATAGATAACACATCGAACTCTCCACAGACTGGAAGCCAGTGTGCTGCAATGGTTAGACCTGGGAGACCAGGTTTCAAATCTCTACTCAGTCATGAGGCTCAATGAATGACCTCAGGCCAGTTACTCATTCTCAGGCTACCTTACCTCACAGGATTGTTGTGAAGATAAAATGGGGAGGGAAGGAAATGTCTATGTCACCCTAAAGTCCTTGCAGGAAAGGTGGAATAAAAATGTAACAAATAATCACCATCCCAAGCACATTTTGTTACAATGACCTAGACTACTTTCTAGGAAAGATAGCAGAGGGTAGTTAGTAAGGAGGTAGAATGATTGCCTCTTGATTCCTCATACACCCAAGAGCATCTTGCCATTATGCGCTTTATATCTTTTACAAATTCCCATATGCTTGAACCATAAAACAAAAGATTACATTGCAATAACCCATTGTAAACATAGCAAATTTGTTCTAGTGCCCCCTTTTCAGAAATATATTGTTTCTTCCAGTTCAAGAGGGTGGTATAAACAAGAAATGTTATGATTAATCTTATGAGCTCTTATGCTGTCAAATAAATACTTAAGAAGATGGAGCACATGGCAATGCAACATCATGACCGCTATGACCACTGCTCAAGCATTACCAGCTCTTCCAGGACATTAATAATGGTACAGGAGCAGGGGTTGGCACTCTCACCCTAGAAATAGTTACCCATTGCCAGAAGTAATGCAGCAAAGCACCAAACAAAATTGGAAGAGGAAGAATAGGAGAAAACTAGATGGAGGGCTTGCCTAGAGGAACCTTATAAGAGAAGACCTTTTGAGCACGATCAGTGAAGCCATACGTATATAACAATAAGATTGCAACTGGAAGACGGCAACGCATACAAATCCTTTCCTTACTTGGCTACTACTGGATAGCACACTAGCTTTATTGAACTGAGACTGTGCATACTGCATCCAATGTGCTCTGCATCCAAACCATTACTGCCTGAGCTTACGACAACAGTAGTAAATATGCCAGAGACTTACTGAACTAAAATGCTTAGATTGGACTGTACCAACAACAATACTAGTGTGATGCCAAAATATATGACATTATGGTAGTTTTCTGCTGTGTATGTACGAGTTGTTCTTTGTTTTCATAAATTTGTAATTTGTTTATGTATACTATTTAATAGAATTTTTAATACAAAGGAGTTAAAAGTATTACTAGGGCTAGTTTCTAAATATCACAAGTACAGGTCATAAATAAGCACCTGAGAGATATTTGTGTATGTTTAAAAGGGCTGAAATATTTTCATACCACTAAGCTACTGTTTACTCCACCCATGAAAGGGAGAAAGGAATTAACTTCCTATTTTTATCAGGTTTCATATTTCAAACAAAAAGCAGTTTCTATGATGAAAGCAAGTCCAGGCAGGCTAGTGCCCATAAATTGCTTTAATAGACTCCTTGATTTCTTTCATATATATATAAGAAGGAAAATACACCTGTCCATTTAGAAGTTCAAAACCTATGCCTTCACAGGGGTGAAGGGGAATAACTATGCTTTCAAGTTCAAAAAGAAAACTTTTCAGTGTATAAGTACTGATGCAATTCTGCAAGCAGATATTTATATAGAGGAAAATAATTGTCATAGATGGAAGCTTTTATGGAGGTACTGGCACAGAAGTTGAATAAAGCCAATCAACCCAAGGGTAATCCCTACAATCTCACGAAGTACATGTTCTATTCTTTGTGAGAGAGTCAGCAAGCCCTAACTGAAAGGCAGTAGCATAAAATCCAGCCCAAACAGAATGGGAACGAGGTATAGCCCCACCATGGGGAGGAGGGTATATACACAGGCAGAAGAACTGTCTGATAGTAAGAGCTATTCGACAGTAGAACAAAGTGGAGAGTTGTGGACTCTTCATCCTTAGAGGTTTTTAAGCCGTGTGTCTTGGGTGCTTTAGCTGAGAATCCTGCATTGCAGGGGGTTGGACTAAATGGCCCTTGGAATCTCTTCCAACTCTATGACACATTAGCAACTGAAGTGATATAGGGTTAACCTGTACACGGTTTGCTCTTTTTCTCAATTTGGGTTGAAGTTGCGGGGGGCGGGAATGCATTGAAGTGCAGCATTTCATAAGAAACGATAGATATGGATTGTGGCTATTGTTATGTGTGCACTGTTTCCTAAACCAGTGGTGGGAATTGCTGTTCTCCAGTACAGGGGATCTTGCCTATATTTTATTTGCTTTAAGTACACTCTAATTTGAGTTCACAGTATTTGTCTTATGGCTTTTAAGTCTCTTAGTTATAGGCTTTCAAATGTTTTGTCCACAACAAAAATGGGAAAGAAATGTGCCTTATGACAAGCAAATCCTAAATTCCAACACAGAGTCCAAACAAAATACAAAACCATGGTAGGTTAAACTAAATCTTGTTTCCTTTAATATCTGAACCAAAGCCTACTGATAAAACATGGTTTGTTTAAGTTCAGCAAACCAGTGTCTGAAACCAAAATTTGAAGCTTGTTTGCAAACCAGAGTTTACATCTGAGTCACTGTGAATCCATCTGAATTCAGTGCTGAGAATATGGGAAACAAAAACAACTCTAAATCATGGTTTGCCTGCTTCATGTCTACTGTTCGCATAACATGGTTTCATGTTAAATCTGAACCCAGTGAAATGAACACAACTAAGCATTACTAAGAATTAAAATGACAATATATTAAAAAATTGATTTTCACCTGTGGAAATACAAACAATTTTGCATCATGTCCAGTAGACTGTGAGTCTGCAGGGATGAATTTTACTTCTTTTCTTTTTAAAACATCTTGTTGTTTTAGTTCTGAATACATTAATATGAGTACTACTACAACGGGTACTAATAATGATAATAAATAGACCACACCACTGAACTCTTAAAATGCAAGAACACACTTGATTTAAAACAAGTGAATTGTTCTGTTCAAAAACTGTTCAAAGTATTTATTACTAAACTGGAAAATAAACATTAGCTTTCTAAGAAAGGGTCATATGTCATTCATCCTAATTTCAGACATGCTTAATTATGCGTGTAAAATATACCTTTTAAAAATACCTTTGAAAAATATACATTAGAGGGTATTTAATCAAGTCCTTCAAGCACTTAATTCCAGCTACTTTCATGATGATAGATAGTTGCAAAGCAAGATATTTAAAAAGCAAAAAACAAAACAAAACCAAAAACCCAAGACAGGATTGTTTTAATTTGTTTGCACTATGTGGTCTGGAATTATAGCTGGAGCCAAGCTTCAGAGATAGCTCCCAGCAAAATATAAGCTAAAAATGCACTTTGCTATCTTTAAAGCATGCCCTGATCCCAATCAAGGTACACAGAAGTAAATTTCATTGCCATCAGCAAGACTTATTAAACATGCTAAGGGCTGGAGAGGTCCTATTAGAAACAGCTTGTGTTTGCTCTGTAACAAATGGCTTAAGTGTTACAGTTGAAGGTACTGTTCCCCAACATGGTATCCCGTAGATGTTTTGAACTGCAGCTCCCATCATCCCTGACCATTGGGCTATGCTGTCTGGGACTGGTGAAAGCGGTAGACCAAATCATCTGGAAAGCACCAGGCTGGGGAAGACTGCTTTAGGGCAATACTTAGGAAGACGCTCTGCTGGATCCCATGTGATTCACATCTGAGTAAACATATACAGAATTAGACTGTATATGTGTGATAGCTGTGTGGTAGCTTTATCTATCTTTAGTCGCCATGCAAAGACTTTTCTTTCTGCCCTTTCCTTTTGGCCATTAACTTGAAGGGTGGCATTGCAGCCTCTTTTACTGGAATGGAATGCGTAAATCCTGCCCTTTATCTAGTTATTGTTATTAAATATTCTAAATTGGTTTTATTGTAAGTCACTTTGGATCACTCTGTGAAAAGAGCAACTATATATATAGTTCCAGCTCCTCTCAGGTGGGCACCATTGCCATTATAAGAGAATATCTTCTGTTTAAAAATATATATGGCTGAAATTTTACTACTCTCGTATATACTGGAATAAACAGTAGATTCAGTTTTTAGAGTAACTTAGGGCTTTCACCTAATGCTGTGCCTGACTGCCTTTTCTAGCATTTTTCTATAGTTCTACAGCACTTGGAGTCTGTATACATAACCAGCCACTCCAACATCATCTTATGAAAGCAGGAGTCTGAACTAGGCTAAAAGATAACTTGCAAACATGCAACAAGGAGTGAGTGTTGCTTAATAACACAAGGTCAGTCTGGAGAATTTTGTGATTAAATAAATTAGTTCCTGGTTTATCACAGGGCAGTCTTAGGGTGTTCTGCTGTTCCTGCAAGACAGTTGACGACATACAGATTAGTGCCTCCGTATATCACTTTAATTATTTTTTTAGAGGTCAAAATAGTTAAGGGATGAAATCATTATACTGATATATACATTTTCGTACATATTCTTTGGTTGGAGAACCAGAAGTGCAAATGTCAAAGGGTAGATGCATTGTGGTTTGCATGTTGCATCAGGAA